GCAAGTAATAACTTGATGTCACAAAATGTTTGTGACACTGAAATGTTTTCGTTTTTATAAAATTTATTTTTAAAGTGCTTTTACAATAAAGAATGACAAATGTCTACTCAGTAAATTATGATGCAAATTATTTTTTATCCAAGATAGGAGTACATCATAATTAATTTAAAAGAAAATGGCTCTATATTGTATGTATGTATTAAAATGTATTAAAAACAAAGCAAACAAAAATATGTATAAAGCAATTTTTAAGTGATAACACTAGTTCAACAATCAAGTTATATTTCGTAGACTCTCACAAAAACAATTTACAAATTAACTACCTATTTATAACAACATACAAAAGCGTTGATAATCTACCCTACAATTTATGTAATACAAGTGAAAAATTTATATATTTTTTTGTTGCTAATTATAAAAAATTTATAACATTATATTAATGTTGGTAATAGTTAAAACGTTAGTTTTGGTATTATTTTAAAGATATTGAACTCCATTTTCAAAAGGTTAAATTATATATTTATTCAAAGTTGCACAATCTGTAATGCAGTGAAAGTTTTGTACTAGATACAAATGTGATTTTTAAACAACATAATTTTTAAGTGTTGATTTTAAAAGTATATATTTATTAAAATGAAATATTCTTAGAACTAGAAACAAATCTTAGAGATACACACAAAAAAACATAGCTTTTATGTTTTCTTTGATACTATTTAAATATTTTGCTGAAATGTAAAACATTTTATTCTTTTTGAATAATTTCATTGTGAATTTATTTTCTGTGAGTAATGATTGAATACTTGCTGGTTGATATTTAAGCTTAAAGAATGAACTGAAATTTATTATTACCATCTTCCCACCAGTCCCTATGTACCAGAGAAGTGAGAGCACTAAGTGATAACTTGAGTAAATTTAAAAGAAAATTCTTGGTTAGGAATATATTATCAAATTACATTAAAACTGTAGCTTAGAGAAATTGATTGCAGATTTGAAATGAGTATGTGAAAATATCTAAAATCTATTAAAAAATCTGATGGCAAAAGTAATATTTGTACGCAGTGTAATTCCTACATATGCATGAAATTGCCAGAATATATCCATAACAAGTGCGACTCACAACACTACAATTAATTAAATTTTTAGGCCTTAATTAATTTATCATAACATATCAATTACTTAAGAAATACCCCTTGCATAATTTAAGCAATTTTTATATACAGATTTGTATGTTTTGTTTCTAACTATTTTAAGTAATTATCTGTTAAAGCATCTCAAAAAGGCAGGATAATATAAAATTTAGTAAGATTTAAATTACATTTAGATTAAAAGTGATTAATTACTTATTAACTACTAGGATAATTTTATACAATAATTTTGTATACCTTTACAGTTGGAAAAGACATAACTGCATAAAATACTATGGACTATTGAAAGCTTTCTGATGATTCACCAAGTAACATTATTTATTTGTAAAGCAAATCAGCTGAATTTATAATTTTTAAAAGCTGATTATATAACATACAAATAAACACAGTATCCGAATAATAATATGACAGCTTACGTTTATTCAGAAAATGCATTTTATTACCATTTCAAAACAGGAGTTGAAAACACCTACAAATAGCTTTCTTTTACGCAAGCACTTGTCAACAGCTGGAGGGTTTTGCTGTTAAGCCTGAATTCATGAAATAAGTAGATGAGCAACATATATTACATATAATTTTTATTCATATCCTTTTTTGGCTTGAGTTTTTTCTGGCTTCATTACGTTTTTCAAAAAAAATTTTCATGATTTATTTACCATTAAAGGACTTTTGACACTATTGACTGATTTTTTTCAATATTTAAAGTACTGTCAAATATGTAGATTTAGCTCATTAAATCTGCAACTTAATAAAAGTAAAAAATAAAGAGTCTTATGAATTTTTCATTTATTCTAATTATTTAAATTAGAATTGTAGTGCTTGCTCTTTTTAAGGAACTGTCATAAAGCATTCAATTTGGAAATATTCCTTTCCCCTTGTGTTAATATATATAGAATAAACAACCACATGAGTCATATGTTTCTCATTTCGTATAGAAGGTCAAATTTATAAGTATCTCAAATCCTATGAAGATGCAATGCCATCCTGTGCCTAAAATTATAGTTTTTTAAAACATTCCAGGGTGTCAGTCAGATGTTGGCACGAAAGGGTTAATCCAATTTTTTAATTAGCATTTTGCACTAATTAAAAATATCTAAGGTGAGCTTTTTGAATAAATCAGGTTGTAAGTCTTATTTTCATATATATAGTTTAATTTATATAATTTATTATATAAAAAAGATTTACCAATATATGGAATGATTTATCTAATCAAATAAAAAAGAGTCAGGAAGTGAAAGCGTTTCTTGCTGGCACGTATACATGACAGTTGGCATGAAAGGGTTAATCCAATTTTTTAATTAGCATTTTGCACTAATTAAAAATATCTAAGGTGAGCTTTTTGAATAAATCAGGTTGTAAGTCTTATTTTCATATATATAGTTTAATTTATATAATTTAATATATAAAAAAGATTTACCAATATATGGAATGATTTATCTAATCAAATAAAAAAGAAAATTCTTACTTTGAGATCCAAGGTTTAGAAAAAGGAAGAAAAAAAATTTCCCTAGAAAGTACTAATCGGACTTGGTTGCCCAAAATCAATAAGACATAGTACTTGATTACTTTCTAGTTTACCAAGTCTACCTAGTGTTATTCAAAGGAAGAAAAAAAAACAATCCTTTGCAAAAATATTTTTGTACCTTGGTGAAAATAAATAAGGAAGATTAATGGGTGAGATTTTAAAATGCTACCAAAAATTTTTGTAAAATTAAAGATTAATTTTATTAAGAAATAATTTTCTGTTATCAAAATAACAAATGACTAAAGACTTATGATATCAACAAATTAGTGAAATTGAGGTATGACTGAATTTATAATTGATTTGGAAAATGCAAATAAAAAAATAGCATTTCAAATAAAACCGGCAAAACTTTTTAATAAGAATAAGTATCGAAGTAGGGTTCAGTATAGACCCCACTTGTTATTTTTTAAGTATTTTGAACACTGGTATTTTTAAACTATTTAATGTTAAATAACGTTGTAATAAACAATATTCAATAACACAAAAAAATTTCATTTTTCACATAAATTTATATTATTGATATTATGTAAACCAGGGCTGATTGTGCTCCGGAAAAAATCTGGATTTCAGGATTTTTCGTTAACAGTGATCCCAAAGTTTTTGGAGATCGAAGGTCCAGGCGTTTCAAAAAATTATTGATCATAGAAGTTTCCGGAAATCAAATTTTCAAAGGTGGAACTTAAAAATACAGTTTATTTTATTTGTTTGTATGTGAGAGTCACATACTTTATAAGCTTATATTCATGATTAATATTCATTTTTTATCAGTAAATAGTTATTATAATCGCAAACTCAAGAAAGAGAGACATATTTGTAAATTTTAATTACTTCTCCAGGTCATCATAGGTATGTGTAAAATTTTAAATATATTTTAAGTAAACTAAGAAATATTGAGAAAAAGGGAAAAAAAAACATTGTTTAATTTTTTTCTTCTTATTTTTCAATTTAACTGTTTTTTTAACTCGAAATTTTTCAGAATTTTTACTTCGGCTCACAATCACCCCTGGTAAACTAGTACTAAATAAACTTTAACCTGTTAAAAGAGGTTAATTATCACCACATTAAAATTTTCTAATCATTTTTCTGACAATTTCTTTCAACACTTCAGGTTCCTAGTACATGATGATAACTGTTTTATTTATTTTCCATTATTTTGAGAAAGATTGCAAAGTGAAATGGACAGATAACAGAATAAAAATATTATTTTCATATGGGTTTCAAAATTCAAACCATCATAGCCCTTCATAAAAACAACACTCTAAATTGTTTTATGGAATTGTGATCTTATTTTACAGAATAAAAAAAAAAAATGCTTACTAACACATATTATGAACAGTCAACTATTAAAAAAAGATTTCAGTCAAAGTATAAGTAAGGTTCATAATATAATCTACTTCCCCAAAGGTTAAACTAATAAAAAAAACAATTCATAGTAGAAAGGCAATGTAAAATATCACAGAATAGCCATTTCAACATTTCTGAATGTTACAGTTATAGACTTTTAAAGAACATAATTAAATTTTAAAAAATTTAAGCTCTGTTAATAATTTTTGTTAAAAAAAACTGAGTGTTAAGGACATAGCACAACACATTATGTCAGTAACAGCCAGTTTTTTATTTTTAAAATATTTAAAAATTACTAAAAATTGGAGAAAGTATAAATAACACCAAGAGTTATTTAATCAAAAATAATTATTATTGTTTCTAATATTTTTGGTTAAAAAAAATCCAAGTGTTATAGATGTAATATAATATATTATGTCAGACACAGCCAGTTTTTTTTTCTTTTTTTTTTCAAAATTATAAATTTTTAAAAGTTTTAAAACATTATTGGAATAGTTTGAATTTTTTGCAACAGAGATTTAAGCATTCTATATTGGAAAATATGCATTCATAAATGATAAAATTGCCTTAAATTAAGTGACATTTGCAAAACGGGAAAACAAACCAATATAGCAGATAAGTTATTATTATATTTATCTAACTAGTAAAATAATTTATGAACAATTCATTTAATGTTACTTACATAATAAAGAAAGCTTTCCTGTTATTATTAATATCAAACAATTTCTAGTTTTAAATATTATACATAATGGGCATTAAATTGCAAATATTTAACTTTGTTACCATTTAGAAATTCAAATCATAACATTACAGACATTTATGGAAAAATGGTACCGTATTAATATAATTTATGAGCATTCCAATATTCATAGATTATTTATTAATTATACATTTAATATTACATTGTTCTTAGTTACAGAATTAATTTATGCCAGAAATATATTAAGAAATAATAAAAATTTATAGTATAAAAAATATGTACATACTTGTAAAATTGATACAAAGGAGCTAAAATTGTTAATTCATCCCAATATAAATTCCCAAAACTAAATAAATAAAAATACATAAATGTAATAACAGAATTTAATTTTGATCTATAAATGAAAAACAGTTATTGTATTACCTTTGTATTAGTGTCCTTTGTATTAAGTGTAGGTATTACTGTCTGGAAAATCAGCAAAGACTTCATAGTCATGCCTGTCTGCATTTCCAATCAAATAATCAGAAACAGCAGCACCAATCAAATCTAAAAGCCAGTTTCCCTTTTTATAAATGTTAATTTTCCTAATTTGATCACAATAGTTGAAGTCTTGTTCCCACCTAAACATAATTAAATGCTAATAAGGATTGTACACAAGTAATAAATTGATGATAATAAATTATATCACTATAGACATAAGTTTAAATACAAAAGTATCACAGTAATAGACCCCTTGGCAGAATCACGCGACACAGAGATGTTGTCACAGAGTTCTTGTAGGTAGAAATATTTTTCTTTTGGAAAGTAAAAAAATTTTTTTTTCTTTTCTGCAAAAAATTTAGAAAGATTTTTCTTTTCTGCAGAATTATATTCAAAATATGCTTTTATTGCGTATTGGAGAGGAAGGAAATGCTCATGATTTTTCTATTCTCATTAGAGAAATAAAAATTTGATAATGACTGGTTTCAGCAAGATTTCAAATGGATAATATATAGATATAAAGAAACATATATTCCAAAATCACGAAAATTTAAAATATAAACTATTTTAGAAATCATGCTCTTTCCTTTCATTTTTTTAAAGTTCACCCTCATTTACATTTTATGACAGTGAGTGAGAGATTTTGTTACACATTCAGATTTATAGCAAAAGAATTAATTAATCAATGCATACATTTTCTAATGTTTTATAAATTTGGTTGAATAAAATCTATGGAATATTTTTAACATATAAAAAGCTTAAATAATGCATTTTAGTCTTTATTTTATCCCCCACTACTCGCATCGATTCTATCATAAATATGTGTAGAGTTTTGATCTTTATTTTTTCGGAAATTATTAGAAATTTTCACTTATTTTTTTAAATTGCTCAGCTACTATTATTGATTATTTCAGAATTTTTTTTTTAAATTGCACACAAAGTTCAAATTACGAATTCAAGAGTGTTTTAAATTTAATCTATTTTCTTGACTTGGCAAACTGAAGTTTGCTTTAAGCTTGTTGTCTACTATGTAAGTAAGCTTTGAGCTGCCCATTTCTGTTTCTATTGGCTCACATTTCGCTGGAAAAATATTTAATCTCAAAAGATTGACGAGTTTACCACATAAACCTATGCCTCTTGTTTTTTTTCTTCTTTTCTTTTTTTGCCACGAAAATCACGATATTTGGTCAATTTAGGAATTGGTAA